CATCCAGGTGCGACGTGTGCAGCCAGAACTCAGCTCGCAACGGCGTCCTGGTGATGACATGTGACATAACGCGAGATAGAAGCCCTTGTTATGTTCTCTGGGCCCGACGACATTCTCCAGCAGGTTCGCGATGACGACGCATACGGCGGGCCAGCGCAAGGCGCCCCGAGTGTGCTGCATGTGCGGCACTAAGTTCGTCTCTGGAAAGAAGTTTGCCGGTCACGCGTGTAACCACTCGGTGAAGAGACCATACGCGTGTCACATCTCTCCAGCCGACTTCAGCGAGAAGTACTGACTGCGCTGTCGCCTCATCAAGACCATCGGCGACAAGCCGCCGGTGCGACGTGCGTGAGAGGGCGTTCTCGAGGCGCGTCGCTTGTGAATCCAGTGTGCGCCAATCATGACGCTGAGAAACCTTGAGTAAAGAAGTTACAATGGAACCTGTCTCCTTATTTGCGTTCATACGAGAGCGTGGTGTGTCCCGGAGTTAGACCACATCGACCAGTACTATTTCGATGTCACCATCATCATCAGCCTGATTACGTCCACTGCAGGGCAAAGGTAGCAAAGGCCTCTCCCATAGTACCCATAATCCGTCAATGAACCCGGTCTTGTGCTTTTTGCTGCCACGTTATAGACCTTTCCAAAAATACCTCCCAGGGCGCCGATGTATAGTCCTCTTTGGGCCACGCAAATTTGCGTGACCCCTCAAAAATGCACTGACAAGGCTGCGCCCTTAGCCTAGCTCTGTACTCCCCATCATGGCGGTGTTTTTTGTCTCCTGTGAAAAGGTGTATACTTGAGACATTGTTAGCCTCCTCAGGCCACCTAACTTTGTGTCTCCCCGTCGTGCGTTTGCCTTCTGTGGGAATACAGTCAGTTACCTTTAATGACCAGCGGTTATCCTGCTTACGTGCCCGGCCCATGTCCATTCTTCTTCTTGGCCCACTCTGCTCTCTTCTTGTCTCTTAAGGTTACGCCTATCATTTTCCTTTCCATCGCTCACTGCGTCACCCTCAATGCTGAACCCTCTTTGTACGTCTCCAGACTTCTTTTGTGATTTAAATTTGTAATAGTATTCGTAACTGCTAATATTACAGCATTTCTCAAATAGATTCCTACTTTCGATTTTCTTTACACCATACAATTACAGACAGTTTCCCGTACTGGGTATGAACCACGGGCTGGTAATACCAGTAGCAGCGCATGCCATGCGCGTGCTTGGGGAGAAGAAGAGCGTCGAGCCTCGCTGAAGGTACGGGTGCACCATCGCAGTGTTTCATCGTCAACAGCGTAGTCACCGACTCCAGCTCGCTTAAAGGTAAGAACAATCCGGATAGGGCACCCTTCAAGGGTTTATACCGCTGTCACCCAGGCACTATTGAAAGGCAATCCAGTCGATGGCCACTGTAACGGCACAACTAAATAGACTCGGTATGATTGTAGTGCTGCTACACGCCAATTTTGAACCGCCGTTGAGTGGTTGAGACGTTTCGCGCAATCATTTCGTGGTTCCGCAGTTTTCGTTTTCATGCCAGCAAAATCTAGAATGTAAATCCGCTTAAATGCTAAGGCGTCTCTTATTTTGACATAAAAATTTTCATAAATAGTTTACACGTTGTTGTACGTTATATTTAGTTAACTTGTCGAGCATAGAAAGGCTGGAAACGTTAGTGCTGCTCGATTCAGCTGTCACATGCTTTCGACAACCCAGACTCGTCATTGTCGTGGAGTGTGGGCAGTTCGTACACTTGAAGGGGTGAACATGCTTATCGTTGCAATGCCAGTTGCATGGACCCTTTCTACGGGTTTTATTGCGATAGTGATTATATGGACACTCTTGGTTGCATTTTGCCGTCGGCGTCACTCATCGTATATGTTGTGAGGGCTCGGCAACGTAGACAAGGCGGCTATATGGCGAAAATGACTTTAATATACCGGAGCTACGGCCCCAATGCAGTCATGGAGCAGGCTCGCGCCTATAGGAACGACTACTAAACCGCGTCCGGACTAGCTGAACATGGAGCACAGGACTACCAGATTATGTGAAGTGTCACAATGTATACGGATCTCTCTCTCTCTCTCTCTCTCTCTCTCTCTCTCTATATATATATATATATATATATATATATATATATATATATATATATATATATATATATATATATATATGTGTGTGTGTGTGTGTGTGTGAAAACGCAAGAAAGCAAAAAAATTAGAACAAGACTTAGGCGCGCGGAACTGAACTTGGCACCTCTGAGACGTCAGTGCAAGGCGTTCACCACAGAGCCACGGAGGAGCACGTGCCTCAACGTTCAAGCGGCAAGCTATTTATATCTACCACTTACCACTGGTGACGAGCATCTCGGGGGTGGGGGGCTATCGTGTTTTCAATACTACCAGCAATATGTCGAAATGAACTCGCGCCGCCTAGAGTTACTGTAGCAGAATATACAGTAACTCTAGCGTCGCCATATTGTCACGACGCGGCGGCTCATCTTCCACGCTTACTTTGCCCCACGTAGAGGAGGTGGCGGACACTCAGTCACGCGCCCTTTATTTCGCGGTGGGGAGGATAGTACGTTTTGGCTGGCGTTTGGATTTCACCGGAACGATTATGTTGTAGTTACCGGGCGCACAAAGGTCACTGCGATCATTGCGCAGTCTCCGTCTGCGAAAAAAAAAAGTGCGCTTTTCAAACACAGCGAAGTAACAACTGAGGCGCTTATTCGGGTTTATCTGTACCTGTGAGTAGGTTTCGTGCGTTATTTGTGCGTGAAAAACGCGGGACACGTTTCGATCTGCTTGCCATTCTGCGCGTGACCTTCCGATTAGTTGCTGACACGTTCATTGCTTCACCTTTGCGGCAAAGCTGTGACTTTTTTCGCGTTACCGTCATTTTCCATGTATAGCCCAAACAGATGGCATCACTCCGTGAATCGCATGTCCTATCCGCTTGTAGTAACTTGAGTGACGCGGCTGAAGCAGAAATGAAACAAGCCGTCCATCTTCATCAGACGGAGGGCGCCTGCGGAAACACCAACCCGCGTGCGAGGCCTTCCGTCGATTTTTCCTGAAGCAGACGGGAGACGAATCATCCCACCCGCCTTTATTAAGTGAAACTAAGGGACGCTAAGGAAGGTTGGGGGGAATGGGGGGAAGGTGCGTCGTTCATAGGGCCTGCGCTGTCTCGATCATACAAAACGAGATGGCTCGTAAACTGAGAAGACCGGATTGATTGGCGGATCACGGAAAAAGTCTGCATGCACTGGGCATAGTCAGGTTGATGATGATTACGACAGAACTGACGCCATGGTTTAGCTTCCGCACCATTCGGCATAACCTTATGTTTCTGGCGGCGCCTACTAAGACCTGCGCAGTGTGTAAAAAAAAATTAAATGTATTGTTTTCTGAAGGAGCCCGAGACTGAACACGTATTTGAGCATGTGTTTGAGCTTCCGTGCCCCAAATACGCAAAAAAGTAATAAAATTGGTGACGTTGCCACACTTTCCCGCCGGAAATCTAGAAGTGAAATTTTGCTTTGAGTTTTCAATCAATGAACTTGTGGTAGTGAAATTAACGACACTCGAGTTTTCGGAGAACAATTTATAGTCTAAACTAATTCGTTGTCTTGATTTAATGTATCTCTAACATGCGTATAGTATTTACATTGGCCGAGAGAGAGAGAGAGAGAGAGAGAGAGAGAGAGAGAAAACACTTAATTTGCAGCAGCCGTCAGTGTCGTTATTCGGGTTGAGACAGAGATTCGCCTTCTACCACCCACCCTCCCCCCAAGACGTTGGCCTGAACCACTTGGCTTCTGGAGGTGGCCTTGGCTTGACGAATGAATTGTTTGTGGGCTTGAATGTTAATGAGAAATAGGCAACAAAGCCGGTAAGGCAGGAATAAGGGCTGTTATATGTTTTATTTGTGATATGAGCGTGAAAAAAAGTAGAGTGGCCAAAAAGATAACCTAACTGCAATAAAGCGGCGCGCTACGTGCGGGGCAAATTCGTCAACGTGGGAACAAGCAGAAGCGCAAATGTGAGCTCGTATTTGTGTGCGGTGTGCGCGCTTGTACTATGGTACCCTCGTCTACGTTTTGGTCACGTGTTTCACCGCTTTCCTGCATTTAATTATGCGCCGAATATTCCAGCAACGACTTTCGTTAAAGGATAACTTGCCGCCGGCAGAAACCGAATTATGAACCTTCGAAGTCCTCCCTGGTGGTGGAGGGTGTATTCCCACGAATATTTATTCGCGTTGAGACCGTACAGCTTGGGCAAGCCCGGAGCATGTGATGCAGTACGCGATGCCGCAAAAGTTTTTGCGTTTGGAAGAGTGCACCCCCGGATGCCATTTGTTTAGAATATACGGGGTTTGGAAGGTACTCGTCTTCGGTTTTCGCCTGATTACTTCTTCCTTTTATGTGACAACTACAACTACTTATAATAATAATAATAATAATAATAATAATAATAATAATAATAATAATAATAATAATAATAATAATAATAATAATAATAATAATAATAATAATAATAATAATAATAATAATAATAATAATAATAATAATAATAATAATAATAATAATAATAATAATAATAATAATTTCATGAATTCATTTCATGAAGGACGGCTGTAGTTAAAGCTGCTCTCCAAACAGCGCTACTTCTAGACTGGAGATAACGTCGCGCTTCTCAAGATTATCTCTGATATGTAGGCGTTCGTTTTACCTAGGGATGGCGCTCCCATCGATTTTCTCAAGCCAAGGTGAAGCGTTGAGTGAAGCGAAGTTCTAGAATACCGGGCTACTCTTTCGCGGTTGGATTGCAGGCGAGCTGCGGTACTGTGGGTGAAGCTGCCAGTTTTTTTTTTTTTTTTGTTGTTAGCCCTGTGACCTAGTGCCGTGGATGCTAATTAGTGTGGCGACTAAGGTCGGTTTGGCTACAACGATAACCGGTTATAACGAAGAAGCTCAATCTATATCTTCCATCAGATGCCAGGCGAAGAAGAAAGCAAGGAGGACGACAAGAGCGACGACAAGGAGGATGACGACAAGGGCGACGACGATAAGGATGACGACGACAAGAAGGACGACGACGATGACGATGACGACGATGGAGGCGGAGATAAGGACGGCATCGGAAAGAAGAAACCACCGGACTCTATGATGGTGCAGAAGAAGTCCGTTAGCCGATCAGGGTATGCGACACGAGCGAGCTCTGTGTGATGCTCGCCCGACCACACAGATATATTATCGCTGTTGCAGTGACTGTCAGCGTATTAGATTGAACTACATTGGCGGGGATCTGCTCAATGATCGACCGAAAAGAAGAAAAAATAATTGGCCGCCATCCCGATCAGCATAATTAAGAGAATGTGCAAACACTACACATTTTTTTTTTGTGGCAAGGGGTATGTTTTAGTATTATTTTGGAGTAATATTATTGATAATCACTTTCTGGGCGCTATGCTAGACCATGATTTATTCCGCAACCATCTTCAGCAGGATGACTTTGCTCCTTTCGAGGAATATCTTTTACGCTGTTATTTTGGTGTTCTTAATTACCGTGTTCCACCCATCGCAGCGTTAGAATGATATGAATCAGTGGCTAGGCGGGTGTTCATTTCATGTACGAAAGTGGCAAACATGTACGGGAGAAGGAAGTGCCGTTTGACGTGATCCGAATCCCTCGCGTGAAGTGCAAAGCAGCTGCAGCCTTATCATTACCAGGGGTGCGTTGGAGGGGGTTTCCCATGAATGTTTAATGGCGATGCGGTTTTAAGGCTTGTTTTGTGGTTTTCTTTTTATAACGAACACTGAGCTATATGCTGTATATCAGATAGCAAAGAATGATATGCCGTCTACATTCAAATGTTAAAGGGCTCCTTGAGATCGAAACTTAGAAGCGGCGCGTTGCTATTGTGCACGAGTTGTCAGCTAAAGCATTTGCCTGTTCCTCTGTTAGCCTCTCCGAATGCCTGTTCACATCGTTCGAGGGACGAACAAAAAAAAAAAAGAGTGCATTTGCTAGAAGTTGTGCAAGGGAATGTGATCGTGTGCTGATGGTTTAGGCTTCGCGTTTTGTTATTAGTCCACGAAGATAGAACCGTTGCGGGGAATAGATGGAGCTTCACGGCGAAACGAAAACTGGAGGCGTCTCCGATTCTGAAGGGATCCCTAATCCCCGCTAGAGGTTCCCGGCCCGCGCATGACTGTCGAATATGTTCATGAGCTACTCGGACATGACCGGTCTAAAGCATTATTTTTCCTTGAGGCATCTCACGCGGGCACCGTGCGTTGAAACAGTGGCACAAAAACTGTGTCACTGTTCCAGTCGTTTCGGAAACCAGTACGCGTTGACGTGTTTCTCGAATACATATCTGGAAGGGCCCTAGAAGCGACTCATATATGAGGCATGAGAAAGGCATTCTTTCCAGTGGCAAAGTTTGCTTATCTAACAGCTTTAGTGAAATAGTCGAGCGTCTGCCACTGCTGTGAGAAGCGGACAATGCTGGCACGGACTCGTGTATACTGTACGGTTTCAGTGCATGGTAAAGACAGATAGTCGAAATTTCAGGAGGCCTCCATTACGGCACTTGTCCTAATTAATCACATTCTGGTTTTGGAACATAAATTTCGAGATATTAATTATAGATTAATTGCTGCCGCCAGGTATACCTACAGAGGTGCAGGTACGAGCGCACTTCTTGCACGGCGTTCGGCAGAACGAATTACATAATCTGGGAGGGCAACCACCACTGACGGCGTGTGACCACCTGGCAAAATAAAAAAAAAGTTCTCCACCGTTTTTCTCAACTAACCATCTTTACTGCCCCAAGACAGGGAAGTATATAGGTCCACTGAGACTGCATTCTATGGCTGCATCCCGGGGGCCGCTGAGGTGCACACGAGCTTGAGGCCCCTGGCTTACGCTGTGTGACCTGTGTGACGCAGGGCGGCCGCCATCGCAGCCCAGCAGATCGCGGAAGGCGCGGACAAGATGCAGATGGCGCTGACCGTCGTGGGTCTCGCGGTCTTCGTCCTCGTCATCGTCGGCATCGGCGGCTTCGTCGTCTGGAAGGTCTTCGTTTCGTGTGAGTAGTGTCTATCGCTTCGCCACTTTGCACCATATATCATTCATTGCAGTCACCTCAAACTATCACGGAGTTGCGAACACAACTAGGAATTCCGGTTTGTCTGGAAACGCACGCGTCTTGAAGTTATCTGGCTTGCCGAGGACGCCATGTCAGAGCACAGTATATAGGAACCGAAACTAGCTCATAGCAACATACTGAAATTATTTTCCCAAGGTGTTCTCACCCTTACCAGTACATTTTCTAGTCACTCGAGTCCTAGGATTATCATTTGACGCAAGAAAACTACAACTGAAGACATTTTTGTGTTCAGAGGCCTCAAGAACCGAAAAGTCTTCGAGTTAGGGAATATCTCTAGAGGCAACGCTTCGATTAGCGGTCTTGTCTCCCTGTTGGGCAGTGACGCTACTATGGTCCTTAGAATATTCTAGGGACCATCTGTCTACTTCGAGGAATACTACTTGTCGAAATATCGGTTCGAGCGAGTGAGGACCTCTATCCAGGAATTTTCTGGCGTAAGCAGAATTTTTTTCGGGCGAGGGTGGTGAGGGGGGCTTTTTAATCAGAAGTGGGGCGGGCAGGTAAGTGGTCATTTTGCGCCTTTTGCGCCATGTATTCGGAGGAGGAGGAGGGGGGGGGGGGGTCCCGGGCCCGGTGCGCCATCTTCTGGCAACGCCACTGGCATTTGTTGCCTTACGTGCCGAAAACACGATGTGACAACAAGTCATGTACGCATTAGCGGAGAACTTCGTGGATAAAAGACAGGCCGTTACGTCTGCGAATATTGGTGCACTATAAAGATGGAACTTATGCTTTTATAATGAAAGCAGGCAGGATGACGGACGATATTGGATGGTGTAACAAGTTATTTTAAAGAACAGGCTATGTAGGTTCTGGTTGCTACAATCAACCAAATAAGATGTTAACAATTAAACACAATCTAATATTATAATTTAAAGCGGTCTAAGAGTGGTTTGGATGGTAGAGCAAAGCTAAGCGTGACAAACGCAGTGATGTAGTTATTTCAATAAGTGCATTTGTCGTGGTTGATAATGAAGGACACCAGAGTAGAGGCCTCCTCAGATTTGGACCACCTAGTGTACTTTAACTCGTGCAGTACATGAACCCATTATATTCCGCCTTCGTGGAAATGCGATTGCCACGTTTGGAATCGAGCCCACGACTTTTATATCAACAACCGAGACCGTAGCCGCAATGCCATTGCGGTGGACTGCAGCTATTAAACATAAAGTGTATACTTTCCTTGGTGGCTGATATACAATTCAGACTGCACCATAATATTCAGCGCGTTGTTCTAGTTTAATGATTTCTTAGATGCCTCTTTAAATTTGAAGAGTGACCATCGGTGGCATTGGCATCGACAGGAAGTGATAAAAAAAAACACGGAGGAAGGTGCAAAAAAAAAAACACACACACACACACACGGGGACGCCGTTGCCAATGATCTCCACCAGGAGGAAAGCACGTGTCTTTTTCAGCGGAGATCAGCGGTCACAGATCGCCATATAGTTTGTGACGTGCTTCACTCCGACGTCACACGACGGCGTCATCGCATGATATCGTCACTTCGTCAAATGTGGGCCGTTCCAGAGGCACTGCGAAATCACGTGATACGCAGAAAGGTTGCAACGCCTCCGGTCTTGAAGGCAGTGTAAAACCATTGTAGTCTTACGAAAATTCATATGGCGGCTGGATCGGGGTTTTGAATAGAATCGATTGAGAATAAAAGTTCACATGGCTTCTTATGTATTCCTTTTAGAGGACTCGGAAGAGCAAATCAATTGTTTTTTTTTAACATGAAAGTGTTTTGTGCCGAAGTCCACCACGACTTTCATGATGTATTTCCATCACGGGAATGTCGACTCCTATGACGGAGGGATCAGCCATATATTTCTTCCCCTTCTCATTCGATTGTATTGATCTACCCTCCAAAAGCTTTCAGCACCTGACGTGCTTCTGCACCGCCCACGAGAAGGGTCTCCACCATTGAAGGCTTCCTGAACCTCACGTGCCTCCGAGATAGGCTCACCTATGACCAAGCGATGACGGCACGATGTCATTACGTGACGTTACTCACGTTATGTGCTGTGACATTGTGATGAGGTCACACATTTTGATGACCGGTAACGTCAGAGAGTAACATCATCGCAGCATGATGATTTATTCGAACCACTCGTGTGGAGGCTGACGGTCTTTGTTCAAGTTTCATGATGCATCTATGGATTTCGTCTTAAACTAGAATTTCGCCTTGAAGGAAGACTGCTTGCATCTTCAGTTTGTGCCAGGAGAGTGCATAGCGGATCCTGTGTTTTCTTATTCGCTCTTTTACAAGTTTGCTAATGGTGGAACGTGACGACATGGTTACAGCGCAATCAGTGTCGCTAGAGCAAAGTGCCGCAAGACCAGTGTCGACATTAACCTGTTATTACGCCAACTACACCTTGTATCAAACCAACTAGTTCACTGTTGCGGGGGAATTTGCAAAGTGTAGTTAATTTTTTTATTTTCTGGGACTGGAACATTATCGGAGAGAGGCCAACGCTAGCTGGAACAGCGACTTCAGGTAGACGTTATATACAACCCGAGTTTTTGCATGGTCTAAGCAAGAACCTTAGTGAGACCTATTGTACCAATATATTTTTTTTCTCTCTCTGCCAGCCAGTGACAATGTCGAACAGCCCGACGAAACGACAAGTAAGTGCTGGATGCCTTCACACTCTTATCACCTTGTTGCGATTGAGGCGCCACCAGATTTACCGGATGTAACCGAGTTAACAAGCGACTAATCACCCCAAAAGAAGCCCCCCTTCCCCCAAGAAAGGTGCGACCTTCGTGAATCGTTGACAACAATGCGCATTAGGAGACACACCGGGATATCTGGGTGTATACGTATCTCATTATTCAAACAATACAGTCAATAACGAGAACATTTAAGTTCGCTGCAGCAGTATCCTTTATAACAGACCCACCGTAGTAGCAGATTAGCCGGCTCCCATCAGAAGATTAATGTGAAGAGTCTGCTGTTTTTAAAGGTGAACGCGTTATCGTGACCCTTAGAGGGCTTGACAACGTAGGTGTCCGAAATTGTGCACAGGTACTTATCTTACATATGGGGCATAATAATAATAACAACAATAATAATATTAATAAAAAAACATTGCAGCTATGGAGTCTACAAACATCTAGAAATGATATTGGTTTCGCATGCGACTTGTCTCTATCTTTGAAAAAATCCGTAAATAGAGGTTTTGTTTTCAAACCAATGTTTTGACAAATGAACTTATCTCTTCAAGGCTAGAACTCCACTTGCTGAAACTTCGGTTCAAGCACAGAAGTGCCGTTTACGGATTTTTTTTCATGGCTAGCCTCCATCTTCTGGCCGTTTTTCGGGTTGCCTATATCGTGGCCGATATAATATGCCGGAGTTATTTGCATCGTGTTTCGAACGCTTTTTATGAGCAATTTTCTAAACATTTTGTTGGAGGAGAGGTATAAAATGCAAGTATGTCGCTATTGTTTGACGCTACATATATATAATGATCATTATTGTACACACTGTAAACGCGTAGGGCAGTCTACCTTATACTTTTGTCGCCGCGTAAAAAAGAGCGGATCACACCCGGCTTGAGAGAAGCCAAATTAAGGCATGCATGACCGCTTATGATGAATGCCCAAGCGTTGGCCATCTGAAATTATTCGTCGTCGGTATTATGACATGCATGACCGCTAATAATGAATGCTGGGCGTTGGCTATCTCAAATTATTCCTCATTGGTATACACGACGTCGGAGCTTGCCGTTCCAGCGTTCTAGGATGTTGACATGCGTTGTAAATTTTGCATGCAAGGAGAAGAGTTGAATGAGAATTTAAATGTCTATTTCATTTCTGTTTCATGTGTTTTCGGGCAGGAAAAGAAAATGACACCGAATCGCAGTTGATTGAACTGCCGGACGGAAACGTGTGGGATGACAGTGAGTGGCATCGTTATTTTTCTCTCCCGTGTTCGGAAGATGTTCCTCGGGCCAGGGGGCTAAGCGTTGGGCCAAGCTAAAACGCGGATTCAACAAAAACAACAATATACATCATCAACAACAACAACAACATTCGACAACATCAAGAACAACAACAAGGGCAACAGCAGCAGTAGCAACAATAAGTAGTATCAGTTGTTTCCGTATTTATCGCATTTACTTAAATGTAATGTGCGTTTTTTTTTCTCTCGATATTATGGCTGCCTTAAATCGACCGTGGTGTTGCAACCGAATACCGAAACACTATCTTTCCTTCCCAGACATATAAAAAGTCACCCCTCACGTTACCTTACCTACCGTATAGACAAACCTTCGTATAGACAAGCGTATAGTCACCGTCACCTGGTGGTATAGACAAACCTTCCCAGGTTTGTCTATACCACCAGGTGACGGTGACTCAACTGTCACTACCGGTCGCGCTGTCTCGGTAGCCTTGAGCAAGAAGTGTCAAGCACGCGAACACACCGTGGGAGATCACTCGAGGTATTCTTTGCCACCGTTCAGAATTCAGCGTTTTATTGGCACTAGGAACTAGTGTGAGACTCACGCTTTTTTTTTTCAAGTATATACGGTTTTCGGGATATTAATTATTCTTGTAAAGAGACAACGCTGGTTGAAGTTAGTAGTTAGTTAATTACACTGGGCAAGTAAGCTTGTTTAGGATAATTGAGTGTTAGCTATAAGAATAATTAATTAGAGTTTTATGGAACGAGTTCATCGAAAGAGCGGGTGGTTTTTCTATGAGCACCATGGAAACGCCGTGGCAGCTGGCGGGGGAGATCTCAACCATGCACTTATGTCTACGGGGCCTTCGTGATCCGCTAAGGCGGTGGCACGAACGCTGTTACCGCAAACGTGTTGAGGGGAAAATTAGATCTTAATGTCAATAAAAAAAAACCTTGAAAAATCCTGTTACCAGCAAGGCTGTTCTTGGGTAGCTTCGAAAAAAGCCAGATCATTAGCTCAATGTAGACAAAGCAGCAAAAAAAAAAAAACAATGTAATGTTATCGTCGAATTCGCAGCTAGAAGTTGAAAAAAGTGCTATTAGGAAGAGTTTTTGTTTTTATGATTGAACAACGAATAAAGGCATTTGATTGATATGTGGGGTTTAACATCCCAAAACTGTTATATGGTTATGAGAAATGCCGTAGTGAAGGGCTCCAGAAAATTTGACTTCCTGGGGTTCTTTAAAGTGCACCCAAATCGGAGCACACGGACCTACAGCATTTTCGCCTCCATTGAAAATGCAGCTGCTGGAGCCGAGATTCGATCCCGCGACCCTGCGGGTCAGCAGCTGAGTACCTTAGCCACTAGTCCACCGCGGCGGGGCATAAAGGCGTGAATAAAATAGAAGCGAAAGAACTGTTTTTTAAAGAATAAAAGTGGAAGGCGAATAGAAAGTGGAAAAAACAGAAGTTGGAAGCAGCCAAATAGTAGCCACGGCATGAACCTGAAATTGTCTTCACTAGGCTGGGTTATAAAGCAGCCAATTTGGCCCTAGGTAGCCACTAACGGAAACCCTACCACACGCCTATAAGTTTATGATTAGGGTCCCCACCAACATTTTTCTCTAAATTGAAGTAGCACACATCGATTACTTCTAAGTGTAGGATTCATTACGTAAAGAACATTTAGATTCTGTTTATTTAACCGAGCGGTGATTTCCTTTCAGGCTCCGGAAGGCCGCCAGTCTCCATCGTGTTCGCGGAGGACACAGAACACGTCGAGGAAAGTGAGCATGACATCTTAGTTGAGAGTACTTTGAAAGTAATGCTGAAGATAATTAGACTGACTAGTTAGGTGGTTAGCTATTGCATTCCTATAGTACCATCTGACTGTGAGACATATCGTATAAAGGGGAGGCCAGGAAATATTTTTCTTCTTTGTCTCAGTATAATTGTTTAGGGTGAACATTCGCATTTTCGCTGGTCTATCAATGTCTCCGTTGTAATGGAGCATTCGTGATCAGAATTGAACCCGTGACCTTGAACTCGGTCGCTTCATGCGCTGCAGCACTTGAGCAACATCATGCCAATGTAGAGCCACCGTGAAAAACTTAGACTACGAGGTTTTATAAATCTTTGCGATTTCCCAGAAACTTGTGACTCTACTCGATTGAACCGCACAGCACACATTAGTGTGCTTTCCGAACAGGAGAGATGACATAAACTTGAGGCTCTTTTCCGAGATAGAAGAAACATCCAGCTCTTCTGTTAGGTTGCTGTTTTCTTTTTTGTCATGTGTCTTCTAAACTTTTGATGCTGATCCTACGCAATTCAAGAATACTTGTGCTGTGTTAGAGCGTAACCATTCTATATTAAGAACAAACCGGTATCATGAACCCCGCTTTTTAAAGTCAAAGAAGGAAGTAAATGAATATGGGAGCCGTGTGAAGCCACCGTTTTAAGCCTAACATGTCAGCAGCTGATGTGGCAACTTTGAAACAGTGGCGTCATGACGTCACACACTTTAGAGGTGGTCGTTCGCAACCAGCCAGTTCTATTCCATCCTTAAAGGCAAACGGCAATGATTTTTGGAGAACGAAAAGCGACATTTTCGATATACTGACGCCAAGCTGTCGTAGCGATGCTGAGATTCGGATGCGATATTTAAAACGAACCTTTGTTGTGTTTCTCATGAGTGCCATGATGTATAAGGGAAAAAAAGAGGTACATTACGGACACGTTTAATCTCTGATTGAGCTACGATTTCTCATGCTTTTGCTTTAAAATTAGACCATAAGACGCGCTGGATGATGATGTCGATTTTAAACTTATAGACTCTGGTTGAACTGAACCACAAGAGATATAGAAAATTTGTTCTGTTAGACAGGAGTTCTGCTTTTGAGTGATGAACAGTGTTGCACAGTTCAAATACGAAAGCAATCAAATTAGAGGCAGTTCCATTTAAGGAGCGATTACGCTCAAGATATCTTCGTTTACCTAGAGTGTACAGTATACAGAACATGCGGCAACGGCAAAAAGGGTTCTCGAAAGTCCATATATGTGACATCGTCATTATTGTTTGCCTATTGGTGTTAGTCAAGGGCTTTGCCAGGAACGAGGTGGGGTTAAAACCTTCCCGAACATTTTAAATTTTGCTTGCGCATGTGTGTATTATATATATAAATATATATACATATATGTATGAACATACAAAAAGTGTGGTATACCCCCCCCCCCCCCGTTAAAGAGCTGGCTACACTACAGCTGCGAGACGAGCTTAAAGGAGGCATTTCTTTAACCTACTGTCCTCACATGTCAGACACGCCTTCGGATGTCCAAGGTGAACCCAGGAACATAAGCGCCTTGGAAGATTCATCGGCAGTCGCACTGGATTACGTGTAACGGTAAGCTGCCAATTTACTTACTCATCAGGCAATTTTGTCTCTTGTGCTACTACATTTTGCGTCTTGTGAGTGAGGATAATGGCAAATTTAAATGAATAGTGGGAAGTGTGGCTGCATTATTGGGATTAGCATCGGTATGTTGCCAAGACCAATGATCCCATTCTCAGTGAATTTCAATCAATCAATCAGTCAATCTGTCTTTCCCCAACTGCCCAAAATCATCCAAGAGGTGTAGTAAGACGGTAAGTTGGGCTAGTTGGTTGGGATGCATCGTGAACTTATTCCTAGCGCAACACCAGAAACACAGGACAGGGAAGGAGCAAAAAAGAAAGAAAGGACGGCACTGACTCACAACTGTTGTTTATTAGAAAAAAAAAAGGTGATGGATATATGTTTCATTTATTTTTCCAATAAAGAACAGTTGTGAGTCAGCACAATTTTTTATTTCTCTTTTGCTCCTTCCCTGTTGTGCGTTTCTGGTGCTGCGCTGTAAACAAGTTCACGATGCACCAAAGAGGTGCACCAAGTCTGACATATATTCACTCTGTCGAACTAGCCCCAGCATTATTTAAATTATTTAAAGTCTAGGGCTACGGCCATGAATGATTTTGACAACAATGATGACAAAGAACCCCTAGCGTTGCATTTCAAGGGCTGTCCACTTCTCACCGCCAATTACGGGACACTGCAGACATAAGGCAGGCTGTTATCAGGGGCCTGTCATCGCTTCATGTTTATTATTGCATCAGTCGTGAAGCTTGTTGCTTCTCGGACTCGTTACAAGTGGGGTGAAGGAATACGCTGCCGTGTAACATCTCTCTTCCCCTCTGCTCAAGCCTATGATTATATGTTTACGCGAGAACTATACACATGAAAACCTCCATTATGAGACAAGGGTGTTTAGCGTGAGTGACTGTACGTTATTAATCTATAGATTTAATTTGATCCGTAATCGAATAGCGTCGTAAAGGAATAAAAATGAAGCCTAGCATAGTATTGAAATAGCAATGTAATTACTACCACTGCTACTACTATATTAGTAATATTGGTATATACATAATTTATTACTACCCCTAGTGATACTATACTGCTAATAATTTGTATATACTAATGTAAAGTGATAGGGGTACAAAGAGTTCCCCTTCAAGGGGGGCGGAGGTTAGTTGCAGCGCCATCTTCCCCCCATTAAGTGAATTAAGGTTACAACGAAGGTGGCCACACCTCTTGCACACTGCTACATATACGGTATTAACAATACGCGGGACGCTCACGCAACCGTGCATCATGTACTTGCGATGCTCACATAATCGTGTTTTGTGCACAGTGGTAATGCGCTTTTCTCACAGCACCGCTTCTTGACGCTGCATTTGCAGGTGCCGACGACGCTGACCGTTCTCAGCATTCCGTGCAGACAGCGCCGATGCGTGGACGTTTTGTAATCGTGTATACGTATCTCCATCTAGCGTCAACATTAATTTCTAACCATATCGTTGCAAATAAAATGCTTTATGACTTTTCTCTTGCCGTAAACCCAGTCTCGCCAAATATTTACTGCGAGACTGTGCATAACTGGGCCATTTTAACTCCATGAACAGTTTATCTTCCCACAGTAAACTCCTGGCAAGTAAACGGCTGTATTTTATTGCGTAGAAGGATAACTGGCTGTACGAATGTACTACAGGTGCGCCGAAGTGGACAGCACAATATCGTCGGCACAGGGTTCTTCAGTGCATAGCGTTGAATTTCCTGTGCAGCTTAAAAACACTAGGGTCTTTAGAATTACGTATATACATATCTTCTGGTAAAAGAACACACCACCTAATACTTAAGTATTGATGTTACGTCTCAGATATGCGTAATATTTGCTTTTTGAACGAAAATGTTCACAAGCATGAACACTGTCGTTAGTTCAATATGGCTGGGCATTCAGCAAGTGCTTAAAATTTCTCCCGAGTGCAGTGTTGTCAGGTTTGGCTATATATAGCCAAATTGGGGTACAAAAATGTTCGGTGTTGATTTGGGTGATTTGAGTGGGTGCATGGCTATATTTGATCTATTGAAAATCTGCGACTTGGCTTCATTCGGGCTGTAAATCGCGCCCTGATTTCAATGCACCCTCCGGAGGTGACCCTTATTGAGCAGGAACAGATACGTAAATACATGTACTCAGTTTGGTGGTTTGAAAAAGGCATAAGTGGCAAAACACTAGAAATCTGCCCGCTCTGTCTTTGATTTATTTATTTATTTACACATACTGCAGCGCTAATTGCACTATGGCAGGAGTGAATATACAAAGATACACAAAAATATAACAGAAAAAAAAGACGAAAGCAGACGGGTAACATAAAATCGTGTGAGCACCTCGCCGCGGTGGTCTAGTGGCTAAGGTACTCGGCTGCTAACCCACAGGTCGTGGGATCGAATGCCGGCTGCCGTGGTTGCATTTTCGATAGAGGCAAAAATGCTATAGGCCCGTGTGCTCAGATTTTGGTGCGCGTTAAAGAACCCCAGGTGGTCAAAATTTCCAGAACCCTTCACTATGGTGTCTTTCATAACCATATGGTGGTTTTGGGACGTTAAACTCCACATATCATCATTAGGGCAAAAATATCAGTACATGAAAAAAAGAAAAAAAAAACATCTTGCAAACAGATCTGCGTATTCCACACATATGAGTTATGAATTTCGACTACAAAACTCTGCGATGAACATGAACGAAGAGAACCGTAAGTCAATAGAAGAGAAGAACTCCGCACCCTGGAGGCAGTCAAAGGCATCGTCGATTCTCGGTAAGGGGTAAACGTCCTCTTCAGTTATTTTGTTAAGACGACGGTATACACAGAAGCGAATGGACCTGTCCTCCTTCTTAACGAGAACGACTGGAGATGCCGAAGGGCTATTCGAAGGCCGGATGACGCCATGCTTGAGCATGTCAGCTACTTCGTCATCGATAACCTGGCACTCGGCTGCGAACACGCGATAGGGTATTTGACGCAATGGCGCATTGGTACCCATGTTGATGCGGTGACACACAGCTGACGTGCGGCCGAGGGGAGTATGCTGGCAGTCGAAGGAAGAACGGAACTTGTTCAGCAGTCGTAGAAGCTGAGCACGTTGCGAAACGGTTAACGTGTCGGCGATGGAGCTGCTCAGTGCGTCAGGCCTAGTAGTCTGCGGCGAAGAGGCACAGGTCACTCCGGCGACTTCGTGTTCGGTGGAAGGACCAGTCGGCATGTCGATAATTGCTGAAAGGTCGAGACTGTAAACACGCCGGACGCACTCACCCCGAAGTAGTGTTACAGGACATGACAACTGGTTCGAGATGGGGAGCTTGCTGACGCCGTCATGAAGTTCTAGAAGGGCATAAGGTAGCGGCGAACACTTGCGACGAACGAAAAGAGCAGATGGCGTGAAAAGGGCACTGGACTCAGCGAGCGAGTTGCAAGACACCATGGTAAGGGCAAAAGAGTGCGGCGGTATGATGACGTCGTCAGCAACAAATAGTTTGTCCCCGGTTTCAAGAGCATCATATAACGAAGTGTCACCAAACACTTCAAATGCCACCTCAGCGCGAGAGCAGTCGATGACGGCCTTATTAGCGGAGAGAAAGTCCCAACTCAAAATGAGGTCATGGGAGCAAGAATCCAACACTAGCAATTCGACGACATAGATGAGGCCATCAATCGCGATGCGAGCAGTACAGGCAACGGCCAGCGTGACGTGATCTGCGCTGGCTGTACGAAGTGATATACTTGCTAGTGGCGTCATAAGTTTTTTGAGCAAGCGGCAGAGCCTAGCACTGATCACTGAAACTGCGGCACCAGTGTCGACAAGAGCAGTGTAGCGACGCCGTACGTCCAGAACATACGTTGGTGAAATGAGAGGCCTTGGTCTTTTCGCGGATGGCACAGTTCCTGCCTCTGGAACTGCGGCAATTGACACATTGCGGAAAAGCGAGCGCCACCTGCCGTCTAAACAGGGAAGCAGCGCTCGCGCTTTTGGTTGGAAAGGCATTCGTGAACTAACATGTGCTAGGCAGCGTTCGGCGGCTCGCGTGCGCTTGTTTGATTGATTTAGTGTTGTTTCTTTGCCGGAAACGTGCGCTGCTTACGGAAACAACATGATAGAAGAAGAAAACATCCCGTTTGCGTTTGTGGAAACGGGATGGAGCGAGGATTTTTCGCGTTGCAGCCTGAGCAACGACGACGTGTGGCGGTACCTACACTCCGCTACTTCGACCGTTCGCCTGGCTCATCGCGGCTGGTCCTTCAAGGAAGAAGGATACGTCAAACACTTGAATGCGCGCTGCAGATCCGAGAATGTTTGTTGGGCGCCCACGGCGAACCGTCGGCATTCTGTCTCCTCACAGCAGCTACCCAAGCATCTCTCTTTTCGGCACGTAGCCTCGCGGACGGGAACCTGTAGAAATGCGTGCTTCCTTTCTGAGTAAAATAATTCGTGCAGCCGTAGGCCACACAGTGCGCTGGCATTTCTGTACGCTGCTAAAGCGAGGCGACTTAGTTCAGTGACGGCACAGAGATGCACGAGTGACGGCCGGCCCGGCTCGTGTTTTCCAACCAAAACCAAAGCGCCCATAGAGGGCGCCAGCTGCGCCGTTACCGCGCATGCGCAGAAGCTTTTCCGCAAAAGTTTTCCCGCTCCAGCGATGAAGGACGACGACGCATCGGCGATGGCGAGCGACGTCGAAGTGATGGCGAGCAATGGTTAACAGGAGGGCGGTGGTCGGCGTACGATGACGTCTGGTTGAAGGGCTGAGAGCCTGTGAACGAAGGGCGCGGTGGCACATAAAGGGCAGGTTCGAAGCTCCGGTCGTAGCTCTCGGGGTAGACAGGGACACGCCGACGGCAGTATCGCGCTATTTGGCCAGGTAGCCCACAGGCAAAGCATATTGCCGCGAGGCGTATTGCGGATAGTGTTGCGCATGCCGATACCACCGGCACGCGGCCTTATCGTGGTCCAGGATGCACCGCGACTCATCTGCGAAGATCATGGCCCGCACGTCGACCATTCGTTGATAACGAGATAGCGCCAGACGCTACGGCGACTGTGTCTCGGATGGTGAACGCGCCTTGCGTTCCAGTGGGACATTTCTGTTACACGACGGCCGTCGAACGCGCCTTGCGTTCATTTTCTGTACCCGACGGCCGTCGAACGCGCTGCTCGCCTCCCGCTAAGCCAGTGTGTCTTTTCTTCCTTTAGTGGGCGCAAGTACACCAAATAAACGGATCTACTTCTATTTCTACTAACCTCCCCGTCTCCTGTCTTCGGGCTACCCTCACTCTTACGTGACATTCTGGTGGAGGTGCCAAATTTTTTGTCGAATCAATTCTCCTCCGTCATGACGCACCTGAGGTACTAATAACAGACAGGGGAACGGCGTTTACGGCTGATCTTACTCAGGCAATCTTACATTACAGTCATACAGATCACCGAAGAACAACTGCGTACCATCCGTAGACAATTAATGGTCTCACGGAACGCTTGAACAAGACCATTGCCGATATGCTCGCTATGTACGTGGACACAGAACACAAGACCTGGGACTTCATTCTGCCTTACGTGGTCTTCGCCTACAACACCGTGGTGCAGGAGACCACCAAAATGACACCATTTAATCTCGTACATGGGAGGGATGCCGTTACTACCCTGGACGCCATGCTGCCTAATGTCACCGATGAAAACAACCTAGACGTGGCCGCCTACCTTCAGCGCGCAGAAGAAGCCCGGCAGCTTGCTCGTCTGCGCATAAAAGACCAACAGCGAAACGACGCAAGACGCTACAACCTGCGGAGACGCGATTCAACATACAGGCCAGGTGACAAAGTCTGGGTTTGGACGCCCGTTCGCCGCCGAGGATTAAGCGAAAAACTCATGCGCCGTTATTTCGGCCCATACAAAGTCATCCGTCAAGTGGGTGAAGTGGACTATGAAGTGGTCCCTGATGGGGCTAGCTCATCCCAACGACGCCGCGCACGACAAGAAGTGGTACACGTCGCCCGTTTGAAGCCCTATCATGCGCGCTAAAGGAGGCTCCCTGTTTGCATCTCTTGTTTTGTTTATGTGTGCGTGATTCGTGCTTATTTGCCATTTACTTTCGCACAGGCTGTCCTTTTGTTTTGGTTTTATTTTAAACAAAGCATCGGGTCGATGCTTACGTTGAGGAGGGGATCAATGCCGCGAGGCGTATTGCGGATAGTGTTGCGCATGCCGATACCGCCAGCACGTGGCCTTATCGTGGTCCAGGATGCACCGCGACTCATCTGCGAAGATCATGGCCCGCACGTCGACCATTCGTTGATAACGAGATAGCGCCAGACGCTACAGCGACTGTGTCTCGGATGGTGAACGCGCCTTGCGTTCCAGTGGGACATTTCTGTTACCCGACGGCCGTCGAACGCGCCTTGCGTTCCAGTGGGATATTTCGGTTACCCGACGGCCGTCGAACGCGCCTTGCGTTCATTTTCTGTACCCGACGGCCGTCGAACGCGCTGTTCGCCTCCCGCTAAGCCAGTGTGTCTTTTCTTCCTTTAGTGGGCGCAAGTCCGCCAAATAAACGGATCTCCTTCTATTTCTACTAACCTCCCGGTCTCCTGTCTTCGGGCTACCCTCACTCTTACGTGACAATATTGAGCGATTGTCGAGTGTACGCCATTGTCCACTACTCTGGACGGACCTTGGCTGAGCGAACCGAGGAGTGTGTCGTATACCGGCACGGCTGAGGGTAGTGGCGCAAAAGTCTGAAGAGGTGGTCGAGCCGCCACTTCAGCATAGCTTAGAGGCGCATTTACCCCGGCACAGGCAACAGGGCTCAGCAACGGTGAAGTGTTACGGGCAGATGGCAGAGCCGCGCAAGCTTGCTCCTGGATGACCTGGCGAATGTTTGCTGGCAGAGGGGATGGTGATTGACTGGCTGTTGATAGCAGCGATAGCTGACGAGCGACCTCAGCACAAACAAACTCCTTGATCTGCGATAGCAGTGACTGAGGGTCAGATGTGGTGGTCAGGCTGGAGAGGGTGTCATCCGGGACGTTGGGGCGTCGCGTGAGAAGGCGCTGTCGTCGCAGCTCGTCAAAACTGTGACACAACTGGATGACTTAGCTCAGAGAGAGTAACAGGGTTCTTCGATAGCAGCATTTGAAAAACACCGTCGGAAATGCCTTTCATGATATGGCGTACCTTGTCAGTTTCCGTCATCACCGGGTCGACCCGCCGGCAGAGGTCAAGGATGTCCTTGATGTAGCTGGTGAATGTCTCACCAGTTTATGGGACCGGTATTGGAGGCATTGTTCTGCGCGAAGTTTGCGCACACCAGGGCGTCCAAAAACATCTGCGATGCAGGTTTTGAAGGTTGTCCAAGTGGGGATATCCGCCTCATGGTTTCTGTATCACAGCTTGGCAACATCCGTTAAATAAAACATCACGGTACCAAACTTTGTAGAATCGTCCCATTTGTTAGTAGCGCTGGCTCGTTCATAAGATTCTACCAATCCTCAATGTCTTTCTCGTCGGTGCTACTGAAAATGGGTTCTCGCAAGAGCTGGGCACCGGGACAGCTCCTGCGTGGCGAAGCCGGTGGGGGTGTGAAGACAGCGTCATCAGGCATGACGGACGGCAGCTTTCGGCTACGCAGTTCCAGGACTGGGGAAGACCGCTGTACTCTCCACCAAAATATAATGTAAATGCAAGGTCAAAAGCGGTATCAGCGTCGGTACAGAAGCAGCAACAGCTGGCCGGGTATACGGTCAGTGTCGCAGCGGCAACCAGGCAGTCTTAGCTCGTGCATCGCGCCAACGTGTCGATGTCGCTGCAGTAGTGGGCATTCCTCTTCACTACACAGGTAATAAATTCCAGTCTTCGATGAAACGAAAAAAAAAACTGAATTTGAACACATTTGCTTGAGTGTAGCAAGGCTTTAAATTTAGACTGTGATAGCTTCTCGTCGTTGACTGTGGGGCGAAGTTGGCAAAAAGACCACAAGCGAAAGCCATTGCTCTCGGACAGACATGTTCTCAACGCCAGCAACAAAACGCCTGTCCACTGCTCTGGAAGCCTTGCTTCGACTGCTCTGGCATACGGACTACAGGACGTAGACATCCGACAGTGTTTTTGATCGAATTGCAGATGCATTTAATGCGAGTAGTGTTGTATGCTGTGAAAGCCTGCACAACTTACGATGAAAAAATGATGAGTCATGCACATGACCATGTAGCCATCCATCGCATCATTGCATTGATTCAGAATTTAAGAAATTTTGTTTTATTTTTATTGAAGCAAGACACTGTTATTTGTTTTGCTCTGCTTTTCTCTCATGTCTTAAAGTAAAAGTGAAGTTATAAAATTGATTTACGCCCTCGTGGCTCACTGATATGACATCCCGTGCATTCGCATGAGAAAACGTAAGAGGGAAGGTAAAAAACAGATTTCCCAGAAGGGTTACTGCAAAAATAGGACATAAGAAGTCAGTGCACATCTTCGTTGAGTGTACCATTTGTTTAGGGGAACGTGCACGATAGCGAAGACTAATGTAACTAAAAGAATAAGAATGAGGAGGAGCACATTTGGCAAGCACACTCATATCATGACAGGTAGATTGTCACTATTCCTCAAGAGGAAGGTATATAACAGTGTCACAGAACGAGCGCTAAAAATGGGCGCGCCGCCAAATTCTTGCGATAACGGGCGGGAGAAACGCCGCGAGGTCAAAAGAAAAAGAAAGAAAACAAACATCCAAGGCTCCCCCGGGCGCGCGCTCGCCCCGCGGAAGCGTGGCTTCACCGACGAACCTCCTCACCCCACAACGGCGGCCCAGCAAGCACTCGATTTTTCTAGAAGGAAAGGGGCGTGGTCATACCGAGTTGAGTCATCCTCCGCGGAGGGCATTCCAACCGTCTCGCTCTCCCCCAGCCTTCGCTGCGTATCGCGCCGACGAAATGACGAGAACTTTCTGGAATGTCGCGCGGAAGGTATTTAACCGAGCAGCGGGGATGAGAGATCAGGAGAAGACGGAAGTTAGCGCCAGAGCGCGTTGGGTATCCCGCCGTGTAGTCGGCGAAGGTTTTGTCCGTAGGGGCAAAGCAGGAGAAGAAGAGGATTTCCACCGAGGTGTGAAGGCTCGAGCTACAGGCAAGAGCGTGTGTTTACCGCTATCGAGCGAAGACGCGTGGCAACAGCTGCGTGTGTGAAGCCGACGTGTTTCCGGCGAAGAAGTTGAAGCTTGAAGAGTGGTCAATTGAAGACGCGAGGTTTCCTGGAAGAGAAACTTCAGGGGGCAGCGGAACGACAACAACCCTGGACTTTGAGTGAGTGATTCTCGGAAGAGTATCGTTCAGACTTTTGTTCCAAGGACTTTGGACTGAATAGGTTTTCTATCTCTTTAGTCTGTAAGTGTCTTGGCTGTTAAATGCATGCGACTGCATTGTAGTGCGTATTGTTGTCTGTGTCCGTTGTTTTGAGGGTGGCTGATTGTACTGTGTAGTACGTTGGTTGATTGGTGACATATTGTACTCAACTATTGTGGAGTGTGCATTCTTGTGTATTGTTTTCGATCTGCCATTATTGAGAATATAATTTTGTTTGTTTATCAACTCTCGGCTCTGACTTGTTCTTTGGGCCACAGCCGGCGTCCGCTGGCGCGCCAAAAAGGACCACTTCTAAATTGTCCACGCTTTCGTGGTGCGGTTCGGGGGGCCGATACTTCGGCCCTTGGAA